CTATAAATAAGATATAAGAATTAATATCAATATTTATTTGATACTACAATTTGTTGTGTACTTACGCGAATGTCATTTGCTCTTAATCAATTCTATTGATTTTTATATTACGTGTAAATTAAAATAACCCTTTGAGAAACTTCTATTAAACTTATATATATTATTTATGTGTTTCGAGCGAATATTCGAAACTTTTCGCCATTTAAGCCCCAAACTAATTTGGAAACTAAACTAGTTTCGCTCGAAACACTCGGCGGTCGTACATAACTAGAAAGGTTGATCAAGAAATTGCGCTGTAAAAATAATTTTAGAAAGAATTTTTCGTCCATTGAAGATGCAATGGTTAGTTTTGTTTTCCTTTCTTAGTCATATTAAATTATCATTGACAATTTCATTCAATTTTTGCCTTTTAAACATATTGTGTGATATAAAAATGCGTAACGTTACCAAAACAATTGTTTTACGCCATCTATAGAGTGATAGAAAAGCAAAATATTTCGATATATAATGGTTATTAGTGATACTTTGTTGATGTTATCGTTACACTATGGGAAAAGCCAACTATTTGTTAACTAAACTAATGCAGTTTGCATTCGTTGATATTAGCCTCATTAATAACAAAATTTCAAATGATAATAACGATAAATCACATAAATTAAAAACGAGATCATAATATTTTTTGTCTTTTGTTTGTGTGTATCTACAGATAAAAACGCCCTATACATGTGCACACACTTTCTAAATGCACTCTCTGGCTCTGTCTGTCTCAAGCTATAGAGTCTATAAATTATTTAGGTGCTTAGGAACTATATACAGTACATGTACATGCATACATGTATATATTTATAGAGGTAACTTTTGCCTTTGTGTGACGAACATAAAAAATACGTAACGTTTCATCTGTAAATTGCTTATCGTTATTTACAATTGCAAAATTCTTCGACATATTATGATTATTAGAAATATAATAAATCTATATGTCATATTATTTTAAAATATATAGTCTGTGGAAAAGTCGACTATTTGCTGAACGACCTAATGCAGTCTGATCTCGTTGATAGCAGACTCATTGATACCAAGGTTTCAAATGATAATAATCGTGAACCCGCAGGTTATAAACCTCAAATAATATTCTATACATTGCACGCACTTTATAAATAATTCTCTGGCTCTGCCCAAGCTATAGATTTTTGAATATATAAATCATATATATTATATAGGGTACTTTAAGAACTGTATTTATATAGAGATTTGGTGTAGAGTATGCCTTCGCTATTATTAACATTATACATTTGCGGCGTTGATTAGTGTTAAATATGTGACCTATTATCATTTGAAATCTGTCCTATTATCAATCTTGCTTACAACGGAGTGTTGACATCAATGGGTTTGATACTAAAATATATAATTTATCTAAATCAAATTGATGGAGTACAAAAAATTTTGAATTCGTAATGGGAATGCCAATTCCGAACTATGAATCACACAAATAAAACAATGATGAATGAATGTTACGCGATAGATCAAATAGAGAAAATTATTTTAGGATTCAATTCTTGGGTATGTATCTTCCAGCCTTTATTTAATTTTTTTTCTTCTCTACTTTCATTTTGTAGTTTCTTTATCTAGTAATTAATACATAAATAAGCAGAACTTTCGGAGTCAGAATTGAGTTATGACATCATCTATGTACATAGTGGCATAGAATAAAAGTTACCGAAGCTTACCTCTTCTTATTGTGAAAAAAAATGAGAAATTCGGAAAGCTCCAGAATAGCATAGACTTGACTCATTGTTTAGTTTCTAAATTGCTTTATACTATTTTTATTCTATTTTTGCCGTCAATTCAATACATTCGTATAAGATATTATTTAATGGATAATATAATTAATAATATAATAAGAGAAGGATATATATAACACAATCTTTTATTACGCATGGATGTGAAATTAAAGAGAATATGAGTCCGCTATGATTGTATGAAAAACTCAAGAAAAATGACGAACAATTATTTAAATTTTGTTCGGTTTTTCGAGATCACGGAAACAAAAACAGTTTGCATAAAAAAATTGCAAACATTTCTAGGTTATAAAAAAATTAGAAAACCATATTTCAACAGAAAATACGAAATCAATTAAGTAAAAAAACGATTTTTCGAGGTGAACATTCGGAATAATAAAAATAATTAAAGCTAAACGAACATTGAATGATTATTAGAGCAACTCGTACAAAAAATAAATAATTAGATTTTGAGTTTTTATAATTTATATCATAAAAATACTCTTCGAAATTGAAATAGAAAAACAGTTATCGCGCATCAAATCGGTATAATGTCAATCATCATCTCTTCGTTAAATTCATTTGTAGTATTTTCCATATACATGTACATGTTTATGTATTCGTTAGTTATCGGTACCGACAAATCGTTATTTGTCGGATCGCTGTTAAATTCTTGGCGTATATTTATAGAGTTATCCGTGTAGGACAATCGATTTGTATCAATCATATTGTTATTTACATTTTCCGCAAAAATATCGAATTTTTCCGAGTTAAGAAGGGGCTCGGCCCCAAAGCATACCGAGGTTTCCGAAAAAAAGACGTTAACGTGAACTTGGGAATTTTTATCGATTAAGTTAGCGTGGTTTTCCATTGTGTAACTTCTACTGACACTAGGAGAATTATCAACTGATTCGATCTCGAAATTTTGTATCTTGCTTGTATCGATAGGACGTCGTGAATTTTCATTAAATTTTTTATGTACTTTTTTCATATTCTCATCGAAAATAAATACGAATTGACTTCTAGGTATTGTTCGTTGAATGATGATTTTTTCGTATAACTTTTTGAAAATACTTTTAAATTCTGCGGGAAGTTTTTCCCAAGTTATTGCAAATAATTGAGAAATCATGGTTTTTCTTGATTTGTTTAATACACAATCTTTTTGGATGCAGTTCCATTTTGTGGTATCGCGAGCACGTGAATGCTCCAAGATCATACGATATAAAAAAGCACAGTTCGGTATCTTTCTTTTGTTGTCATAAAATTTAAATAAGGTATCTTCTTCATTTAACATTTCTAGTTCTAAATAGTGTTCGCACAAAGGAGAAATTAAGATTAGAATAAATGGAATAATATATGCAAAGACCATAGTATTTCCAGACATTTTATGCAACTGATGGATAACTGAAAAAACGAACCATGCATATATATATATATAATATTTTTTGTTTTTCAAATGATAGCATTTATTTAGAAGTTAATCAATGAAGAACAGGTAGAAGTTATAAAATGGAAATGAATAAAGGAGTCGAAATCCGCATAAAATGCGCGCAATTACAATAATAATATTTTTTCGATTTCGTCATTTTTAAATCAGAAAGTTGTTACGTTACCTTTGCATATATGAAAGATGCATGTTACTAGGATAATCGAGAATCATCATGTTTGTCTAGTAGTTTTAACTTAGATTTGAATTATTGCAACAAAGTTTCATTTATTGATTGCTATTAAAAATTTCAGCGCCATAACACATGTATTTAACGTATTTCTAGATATTTACATACATTTATGTAAATCGGCTGATATTTTCATTTTTCATGAGTAAGTCATAAGACCGATGATTAGTATTTTTTTGGTTGATTATTGCCCAGTTTGCAATCTTACAATCTCTTCTGAATTTTGAAAATGAAAAATGTCAATGTGCAAATTTATTTTGCAAATACATGTACAACAGATTTTGGTTATGAATTCATTTATCTTTTTGTAACGAGCGCCAAACTTTATGTGCGTGACTTTAAAAAGTCGCGGAGTCATGTAACAAAATTGCGGTATATGCAAGTATAATTATGTAAAAGTCAGGAACACTAATGCATAAATGAGTCTTTGGTTAAGAGGTTTTTATAAATGATGTATCAGATAATGAAGAACCAAGATACAGACTTTCTTTATGATGCTTGAATTTAAATCGATTAATTTAAAATGATATTAAATTGTGATTTTCATTATAAAAATATATACAATTCGGGCAGAATGATACGTAACAGTTATATATTCTTAAATAAAAAAGTATGTTAAAGAGAAGAACATTTGAAATTTTCAAGATTTACCTGAAAATGAAAAATTAAAGTTTGATGTACACCCCCCTACCAAAAGTCTTCGGCAGTGTTACGTAAATCAAGATTTTCAAAAAAAATTTGCGAAATTTCAAATCAAATTATCGTAACAACTTTCTTTATAATACTCAATAAAATTTATATCACTCGAATCGTCTAATCATGAACTTTTTAAATTTAGTATTAATACATTGTGGGGTTTACTCCACTATCAATTACAGCATTAACTCTACGCGGCATACTATCTACCAAATTTTCTAAAACATTTCCATCAATTTTCAACCACTCTTCCTTCAAAATGGCAATAAGTTCTTTCTTATTTTTTGGTAGGGGTTTGTGGTCATGTACTTTCCTTCCAAGATGATCCCATAAGTGCTCAATTGGATTGAGATCTGGGCTCTGAACAGGCCACGGAATAGAAGATATCAAATTTTCTTCTTTCCATTCAACTACTGCAGTTGCTCTATGTACAGGAGCATTATCATCTTGAAAGGTAAAGCTAATATTTTCGTCTAAGCTTTCTATGTAAGGTAACAAATGTGTTTCTATAAATTTTTGTACACCTCACCTGTAATATTTTTCTCCAACACTACCTAGCTTATTTCTAACAAAACAATCCCAAACCATTACCCCATTATTGCCAGACTTTACTGTAGGAACCAAACAATCCAAGCCATATTTTTCATGGGGTTTACACCAAATCCATTGCTGTCCATCATTTTCAAACAGAAGAAATTGGGATTCATCACTCCAAATAATATTATCCCATTCTTTATTCCAGGATTTACGTGCCTGATACCATTTAAGCTGTTTCTTTCTATTATCCTTTGAAATGAATGGTTTTCTTTTTCCAATGTGGCCAAAAGAATTATGCTTATGCAACACACGTCTAACTGTACTCATACTAATATGAGTTAGATTAAGTTTGTTAAAATATTCAGTAATTTCTTCAAGAGAATCTTTTCTATTTTCTCTGGCTTGACGTATAAGAGTACGCTCTTCACGGCTAGACAAAACAGGTGATCTCCCAGAATGATCAGCAGAGGCCCTTTTTATGAAAATTATTTATGATATTCTGACAAGTAGTTCTGGGTATTTCAAGAATTTTAGAAATATCAGTAATACCATGATTGCTCTTGGAAAGTCCAACAATCATTCCATGTTCAAAAATGGTTAGTTCACAATGACTTGCCATTTTTTCAAGAAACGCACAGGATAAGAGACTAAGATAATTTTATTTTCGAAAAGATTTCATTTCTAGCTATTCGAGAAAAAAAAGTACTTTAAATTTAGTTAGATCTATGAGGAGAAATACCATTTTAAAAAAATCTAACATGGTAGAATTTTATTGGCCAATCATGAACTGCCAAAGACTTTTGGTAGGAGGGTATAGGACGTAAATATTGATTTTACATTATGCAGATATTATTTAAATAAATAACCTTATTTTGGTGAGAGCGCAAAACTGGTTTAGTTTTTTGTAGGAAAGTATAACGATAGGGATGTGTTTCATATGTAAAGAAACGTTATACGGAGCAAATCTTTTTTTTTTGACATGACCAATTACGAAATTAGTATAATCTTCAAAAATTAACTCTAATCTTAAAAAGAAAATTATATCAGTGAAATTTATTTAACACATAAGAAGCATTTATTTTTGTTATCCAATACATCAATATTTAATAATTTCCTAATACATGTACAGTCGCCACAAAAAGCAATGCCCGATTTTTTTAAAAAATAAAATTTCAGATTTATTTTATTTCTGTCTTATAAATATAAAAATGATTTTTTACCAATAGATAATACATTAACTTTTCATATGGCTCTAATATTGCTTTGATTTCTCAAGACATTTAGCCTACAACCTTCTCAAAAGCCAATACATCGAATTTTCTTCAGAGTAGTCTTGAGCTTTTACGTGATCCTTGAGCTTTTACATTTTAAAATATTGTTCTCCAATGACTTGGAGACATTTCTATGAAGTTTGGGTCATATTCATTGATTTCTCTATTTGATTCTATTCATGGCTTCTTTCCCTAATGTAAATCAAATTTTATTTTTTTGAAACATCATGTTCTCTCAAATCAATGAACAAATTATATTATGAAAAGAGACCAAACAATCTTAGAGAATCTTCACATAAGATTTTGCATGAATTTTTTATTACCAATGTTGTGAAATGGCTCAGGATGTCTTTTTTTGCTTCTTGTATAGGTGCATTTTTTTTTCTTGATTTTTAAAAGCCTATGGTCTCCCAGACAGTGATAAATTTTTGTTTTTCCTGTCACTTTTGTACTTGGCAAGAGACAATTACACGAAACCAATGAATTAAAGAAATTGAAGAAGGTAATATAAAGGTTGAATTTACCTTCATTTAGAATATACAGACTAATATTAATATAGCCTAAATGTTTGATATATTTAAAATCAATCTGAAATGTCATAAAATTTTGTGTACCTGTGGCAGTTGGTATTCATATTGCTTTTGAAACAAAGATTCGACTGGTGTAAATTGCATTTGAGTGGCTTTGTTTTTGTTTATATTTGGAATACTTTTTTGCATTTTCATCCACTCATCAAGTTCATATAAGTTTTGCTTTTCTAGTTTAACATTCTCTTTGATTTCTTCTTCTGTTTAGGATATTCTAAAGAGCTGGAGAACTGAAAATGCAAATTATTTGGTTCATTTTGTATGTACTTATATTTGATAAAGTCTAAAGAGCTTTAGTATTGAAAATGCAAAGTATTTGGTTTGTTTTGTATATATCTATTTCTGATCGATTTGATAAAGTCTTTCAGATACTCAGCAGTTGATCTGTTTTCTGGAATAGGCTCCCAACATTTTTCGATAATAAACTTGCAACATCCGGGAACATTATAGGATATTATAGGGCGTTCTCCATTACAAATATCTAATATAAGATCCGTATCATCACTTCGATACCCAAATCATACACAATCATGCCAAAACTATATATATCTGCAGGTCACCTGCGCCAATCTACACGGACATTGTGCAATCAAAAGGGCAAACAAAGTAACTAAATTAATTCTTAAATTGCTATTATTCCAAACCTCAAAAATAGGTTTATTAAAAACTACAAAACAAAATAAAGTGGGTCTCAATATCCAAGACAAGTAAAGAATAATTTGATTCTCCAAAATGAATAGATCAAGGATTAAGAGTGATTCATCAACTTTGTATGGCCAAAACAGCAATGCCTTCAATTGTTAAGCGCAAAAGAATTAAAGGTAAAGGCACAAAAGATATAAAATCTGATGCTATGTTAGGTAAGATTAATTTTATACAAGACTTGTCTCTCCATTTGCGAGAGCTCTTCTTTTATGCATTTTGCTGTGTTTTATTAACTATTTGCTATTCTATAAGTCTAAACTATGGCATGTAGTGAGTAGTAAATGTCACAGATTAAAATGAATTTTTTGACCAAAATCATGCAAATCATCTACGTAGGCCAAAATTATTATAATTTATAATTAAATAGTGGATTTTTAGAATATCGATGACTTTGTAAAATTTATTAATCTAATATTTTATTTATTATACATCAATTAAATAACGCCCACCTGTGCGTTGTTTCGAGTACCTGCGCGTTATTTTGTCATCCTACACACTCTAACATGGCCAGTTAGAATGCCAGATGGAAGCCGGTGTATATTATATTAACAACAAATTTGGGTATATGTTTATGTGGATATCCTTTGTCTGTTTGGGTGTTAAATGACTCAGTGTAAACATAAAAAATTTACTCATGATTTGTCAGATGGTCGGATATGCATAATTTTGCTATTACTACAACACCATTAGCGTTAGCCAATGAATCGGTGATCGGAGAATTTTTTAATAAACAGAAATTTCACAAAATTGCAATTTAAAAACATTATCGAGGTCGACTGTCGGCTGTATACTCGAATGTTTAATTTTCATTGAAATCAATGAGACAACGAGGATGTATGAATTAAAAAAACTATAGTCAATAGTATATTTAATGGTTTTTTCAATCAATTTTTTTTTCAAATAATGTAGTTTATACCACCCGAATCTTTCCACAAAATTAATTTCAATTCAACTGACACAGGTACAAGGTACATACATACCTTCTATTTTGAAATATAATCATACATTTGTTCCAGACGAGGATAAATTTACTATTTGATATATTTTATTAATTTCTTTAATCCATTATTATTATTCTTTAGAACTTTTTAGAGATATAGAATGTCTTGTAAGAAAAAATTATAAATTCATGAGAACTAACATAATAAGTGTACATTTACTATGTTTTAAGGAAAACACAACTATCAAAATTTGTTAATACATACATGTGTATTATGCACTTCACTTACCGTTACCATATTACATGCAAATGTACGATCTATAATACATGCGATTATATTTTTTTTAACCGATTAGGTGGAAGAAATTAATACTTTAAAGAACCCTTGTTTTTCGAATATTTCAACAATGTTGCATTCTCCATTATTTATTTGTTTAAAATTCCAGTTTTATTGTATTTAAGTAGTGATTGAATAAAAATAAACAACTTTTTTAAATTCAATTTTAATGATGTTATTACATGTATATTGCCATATACCAGAAAGCCCTAAATTTTATCACCTTTCTGGACATAATGGCATTTATTGACCCAATTCGGGCATACATATGAACAAAAAATTACCAGCAGGTCAATATCAATTGATTTGAACATGCATACAGAGTACTTTTAAGATTAAAAGGTCTAGAGTTGAGAAAGAGAAGTTTTAAATTTTTTGGAAATGATTCTCGCATAAAAAAAAAGGCATTACATATCTTAATAAACCTTTTTTGCAAAATATATTGATGATCTACGCATGCGTTTTTATCTGGTTACCAAATTGAAAAGAATTTTTTGCGTTGAGCAATTTTTAGTTGTGATAAAAGACCAGTAAAGTTTTGGGTTTGAGCTCATGGGACTCATCAGTTAGCTTTTGCGAAAATTTTGCATTGGAGCAATACTAATACATAAGAAATCCTTATTTAGATTAGTCAGGTATTTCTAGGGTAATTAATAATAGAAAGAAAATCAATGGAAAAAATAAAAAAATCCACTTGCCTCTTTCCATGACTTTTCCGCATTCCTATCATCTTTAACACTTGATTTACAATTGGAAAAGAAGCCATGAATAGAATCAAATAGAATATCAATGAATATTGTATTTGTTTCGACTCTGACTTCATAGAAATATCTTCAATTCATTGGGAAACAGTATTCAAAAATGCAAAAGCTTTCCAAGGATCTGAAGGAACTTTGGTATGTTGACTTTTAAGGAGGTTGCAGGCTCAATGATTTGAGAAATCAAAGCGATATAGAGCCATATTGAGAGCTAATGTTGTATTAACGATAAAAAAATATTTGTATATACATACAACAGAATAAAAATAAATCTGAAATTTCATTTTTTAAAAAATTGGGGTTACTTTTTATGATGAGCAGTTCTATTGGTATTGAATCATTATTCTGATAACTTCTATAAGTAATAATTATTATTAATGTGACTACTTGATATATCTAGTGATCTGTCTTATTCATATATTGCAGTATATTAGTAACTTACTAACTTTTAAGCATCTTTTAATATCTCTGATATATAACTAATCTTTATTTTTATGATGAATTTAAAATCTTCTATGAAATAAGTTACTTGATCTAGATAATCCATATCTGTAACTTAGTTAACTATCTTATATAAATTTAATCTAATGAAGGAAATATAATTATTTGCAAAGATATTATTGATAATATAGTGATTAGAAGATTTCTTTAAGTTCTATAACAAATATATCTCATATTTCAAATAGTGTAATATTATTATTAGTCTTATATTTATTTAAATATCAGTATAGAATTGCTTCAGATAAGAAGATGATAATATATTATACTTATAATAGTTTATTTATAATTTCTTATACTAAGAAGCCTATTTTAATTTGTATTATTCAAATAAGTATATTTTTATTTAGCTCTTCTAAATATATTAATAGTTTAACTAAGAGATAAGATGAGAACTTTGAATTAGAAGGATTATCTTTTTTTATTAATTTAATAAGATTAGATATATCTTATATAAATTGATTAAATTAATTAGTATTTATCTTTCTAAATTTAAAACTAAAACTAAAGTATATATATAAAG